GGGCACGGTGGCTCACGCCTGTAATCCCAGCACTTTGGGAGGCTGAGGCGGATGGATCACGAGGTCAAGAGATCGAGACCATCCTGGTCAACATGGTGAAACCCCGTCTCTAGTAAAAAAATACAAAAAATCAGCTGGGCATGGTGGCGCGTGCCTGTAATCCCAGCTACTCAGGAGGCTGAGGCAGGAGAGTTGCCTGCACCCAGGAGGCGGAGGTCGAGGTGAGCGGACATCGCGCCACTGCACTCCAGCCTGGGTAACAAGAGCGAAACTCCGTCTCAAAAAATAAAAAAAAAAAGGAGTGTGGGAATCTGACTTTCCTTTCAAGGATCCCTCCCGCTTTTTCACCCTACATTTAATTCTGCCTTCCCCCAGGCCTCTTCTTCTTATGGGGCTCTTCCGCCTCTATGTGTCCACCTACTAACTAGACAGGCACTTGTGCCTTCACCTTCCTTATCCCTAGAATTCAATTTGCTAGTGGTAATGAACAACTGCCTGCCCTCCTAATGACACCTACTGGACAAGAAAGAGCCATCCAGCTAATTCCATTACCCATGGGAATTGGGCTTGCAGCCTACACTGTAGGCCTTGGAACTGGCACAGCGGGGGTCACCACCTTGTCCCAACATTCCCGTCTGTCTGTCTACTGATTTTTCTGCCAGCATTACAGACACATATGATGTCTTATCTGTCCTTCAAGGTCAAATTGACTCTTCAGCTGTAGTTGTCCTTCAAAACCGCCATGGCCTCGACTTACTGCAGAAAAGAGAGGACTCTGTGTATTTCTTTTTTTCCTTTTCTTTTTTCAAGATGGAGTTTTGCTCTTTTGCTCAGGCTGGAGTGCAATGGTGCGATCTTGGCTGACTGCAACCTCCACCTCCCAGTTCAAGCAATTCTCTGCCTCAGTCTCCCAAGTACCTGGGACTACAGGTGCACACCACCACCTGGCTAATTTTTTTGTATTTTAGTAGAGATGGGGTTTCACTGTGTTGCCCAGGCTGGTCTCAAACTCCTGAGCTCAGGCAATCCGCACATCTCGGCCTCCCAAAGTGCTAGGATTACAGTTATGAGCCACTGTGCCCGGCCGAGTCTGCATATTTCTAAATGAGAAATGCTGCTTTTACTTAAACCAGTCTGGCCTGCTTTATGATAATATCAGGAGACTCAAAGACAGGGCCCAAAAATGTGCTAACCAGGCAAATAACTGTGCCAAATCCACTTGGCCGTTTTCTAGCTGGATGTGATGGCTCTCTGCAATCCTTACTCCCTGATATCCATCGCCTTTCTCCTCTTATTTGGACCTTGCATTTTCTGATTAGTCTCTTAATTCCTACAAAACCATATCCAGGCCATCACTAATCACTCTATATGGCAAATGCTACTTTTAACCACCCCACAATACCACACCTTGTCCCAGAACCTCTCGGCCGCTTAAGACAGGACACCTTGCCAACCTTCTCGATTCATTTGCCTGTCTTATCCCCAGCGCTATTTCATAGGCTTTACCCTTCTAGCGTCAACAGAAACACCACCCATCACTCAAGAATTCCAGGCAATGCTTCGCTAATGTCAAGATGCAGCGTGAAACCTCTCCGACACCTGCGCAGATTCCTTTATGTCCAAGTCTTCTGGGACCAACCCCCTCCTACATTGGCCCAAGGCACCTTAAAGCTGTTATGCTTAAAGGCTATTTTTTTTTTATTATTGCATTTTAGGTTTTGGGGTACATGTGAAGAACATGCAAGATTGTTGCATAGGTACACACATGGCAGCGTGATTTGCTGCCTTCCTCCCCATCACCTATATCTGGCATTTCTCCCCATGCTATCTCTCCCTAACTCCCCACCCCTGCTTAAAGGCTATTTTTAGAGAATTCATCCTATTAGGACAATTTCAGGCTCAAAAATATGCTAATTGGCACTTTGCTAAACACACAAAAAGGTGCCCTAAGCCAAACACTTAACTAAACACTTACAAAACTACCAAAATCATAGACTTTTCTCTTGGTTGTCCACGTAGCCCCTGTCACGATTGAAGAGGCCTTGAGAAACACTGCCCCTTTGCCCTTCTCTAATTTTTTTCTTTATACATATATAAGAAGATGGGAATGCCAGGCCTCCAAGTCCAAGCCTGGCCATTACAGCCTTGGTGACCCGCACGCACACCTCTGGAGGTCTCCAGGAGCCACAAAGCCTGAAGTAACAGGGTGGCCACAAAGAGAAGTGAAACAACTAGTTCCTGCTTCAACTGCTCTCACCCTGCAAAGTTCAACCCTTGTTCCTGCTCGCTTTTCGAAACTTCCCCCCCTAGACATTAGGTTTTTCAAGACTCCCACCCCTATAACTCTGTAATTTACCACATCCACCTCTCTGCTTGCAACCAACAACCCTCACCCTTATGATCATGCCTGTTTGTAATAGATGACCCCTACCCTTGTGAGCATGCATACCGTGACGCCCTTCCCCTCCCTAAAATAAATTACCACCATTTTTTTTTCTTTTTTTAAGACGGGGTTTCACCGTGTTGGTCAGGCTGGTCTTGAACTCTCTACCTCAGGTGATCCGCCCGCCTTGGCCTCCAAAGTGTTTGCATTACAGGCGTGAGCCACCACACCCGGCCAAATTACCATCTTTAACTGACCATTTGCCCCAGACTATATAACCAGTCCCCTAGGCCAGGCGTGGTGGCGCATGCCAGTAATCCCAGCACTTTGGGAGGCTGAGGCGGGTGGATCATGAGCAAGACCAGCCTGACCAACATTGTGAAACCCCATCTCTACTAAAAATACAAAAAATTGCTGGGCATCGTTGCGGGTGCCTGTAATCTCAACTACTCAGGAGGCTGAGGAGGAGAATGGCTCGAACCTGGGAGGTGAAGGCTGCAGTGAGCCGAGATGGCGCCACTGCACACTAGACTGGGCCAGAGAGCAAGACTCCCTCCTCTAAACAAAACAAAAAAACAGCCCCCCTTTCCTACTCCCCTGGCCTAGCTTCTTTCCCAAACTTGGCCCGCATGCACCCAAGCGCGAAATAAAACGTCCTCATGGCCCACACAAAGCCTGCCTAGTGGTCTCTGGACCAAAACCACGCGATAGGAAGTGTATGCACCGCCCCATGGCAGAAAGACCCGGGACGGGACCAGCCTTGGGGAAACTTTCCACCTAAAAGGAAGTGACCCCCGGAGTCTCACGGGGACGTCTCAATTTGCTCTGAGTGAAGAAAGATGATCGAGAACTTCCAGGTCTGTGGGGACCCCACGTCCCAGGCACTGAAGCGCCGGGGACCTGGGAATCGCAGACTTCATACAAGACAGAGCAAACTCACGCGCCGCGGTGTGCTCGTCACTCCACGCGATCCGCTTCTGGTTTTGCGGGAATCTGCGCGCGCAGGACAGAAGCCAAGCCTGGGCGGGACCTGCAGGGAGGTGGGCAGGGCCTGGGAGAGGTAGGGGCGGGGCGCGAGGCGGAGACACCTTGCCCTTTTGAAGCGGCAGAGGGCGGGGCGGGGCGGGGCGGGGCAGGGCGGGACCTGGGTGTCTCACAGCCTGGCTCCCTGCGCCTCTGTTTATCGGGGTTTGGAGGCGAGACTGGCCAGGAAGGCTGAGGCAAGTGTCAAAAGCCCTGGAATTGTCCGGAACGGGGATGCAAACTTGAATGTGAAATGCAAAGCCCTGCCTGGGAGGAATGTATGCTTTCACGCTGACTCACAGAACAGAATAGAAATTTTCTCCCTTTCTATTCATTTACACAGGAGGGAGGGTCCACCCAGTGCTCAGATTCAGAGACTTCCTTAGGGCCACCGCCTGGGATGCGGGAAGGAGTGCTCTGGCCAGGGAGGAGTGAGGTCACCGCCTGATGCTTAAACGCAGCAGGAATGCAAGCGCAGGGGTGGGAGTCTGAGGTCCCAGCTGCTCATGAAGCAGCTGCAGGAGGATCGCTGAGCCTGAAGATCCAGGTCAGCCTGGAAGACAAAGTAACACCTCCTCCTGCAGGGATCCCTTCCTGCTCGTTCTCTCTCTCTCTCACTTTTTTTTTTTTTTTCAACTCACTGCCTTTGTTTTATTGCTAAGCACTTCAGATAAACACAGCGCCCACCTTACCACTAGGCCCTCCGGACTGAGGTTTACTTAGTTTCAAAATTTGCAGCCGGCTCACGATGAAACCTGCAAGGAGCTGTGGGTCTGAGATTCAGGAAATAACGTTTAAACGCTCAGTGACAAAGTGGAGCGTAGGCCAGGGCTGGACGCCCAGGGACCTGGCCGGCCTGCAGCGTTCGGCCCGCCCTCAAAGATACGTTCGCAGCCCAGTTCTTCCTTAGTGAGTAGCACATGGTGTAATCAAACACACAATCACACCGCCTCGCACTCGACCCCAAAAAGTCTCTTTCACTTTTTTTTTTTTTTTTTTTTGGGACAGAGTTTCGCTCTTGTTACCGAGGCTGGAGTGCAATGGCCCAATCTCGGCTCACCGCAACCTCCGCCTCCTGGGTTCAGGCAATTCTCCTGCCTCAGCCTCCTGAGTAGCTGGGATTACAGGCATGAGCCACCATGCCCAGCTAATTTTTTGTATTTTTAGTAGAGACGGGGTTTCACCATGTTGACCAGGATGGTCTCGATCTCTTGACCTCGTGATCCACCCACCTCGGCCTCCCAAAGTGCTGGGATTACAGGCATGAGCCACCGCGCCCGGCCTCTTTCACTTTTAATATGAATTTTCACTCCGAGGCTGAAGTGCAGTGGCCCGATCTCTTCGGATCGCTGGAACCGCCGCCTGCCAGAAGAAAGTGTTTCTCCTGAGTCAGCTCCTCCGAGTAGCTGGGATTACAGGCTCCCGCCACAACACCCGGCTAATTTTTGTACTTTTAGTAGAGACGGGGTTTCACCATGTTGGTCAGGATGAACTCGAACTCCTGACTTCAAGTGATCCACCCACGTGGGCCTCTCAAAGTGCTGGAATTACAGTGGTTTGCCACCGTGCCTGGTCCCAGAAATACTGTTTACTTCACTTTTTAAATGTTGAGAAAATATTATTGAAAACAAAACAAAACAAAATTTTCCCAAATGATAATTCATCTCAAGAGGATAATAGAGAAATAAAAACTATTTTATTAATAAATAAACCTGGCTGGGCACAGTGGCTCACACCTGTAATCCTAGCATTTTGGGAGGCTCAGGCTGGTGGATCACCTGAGGTCAGGAGTTGAGATCAGCCTGGCCAACCTGCTGAAACCACGTCTCTGCTAAAAATGCAAAAAAAACCCACTAGCTGGGTGCAGTGGTGGGCGCTTGTAATCCCAGCTACTCCAGAGGCTGAGGCAGAAGAATCACTTGACCCCGGGAGGCAGAGGTTGCAGTGAGCTGAGATTGTGCCTTTGCACTCCAGCCTGGGCAAAGGATTGAGATTCTGTCTCAAAAAATAAAAAACAAAATAAATAAATAAGCCTTAGACCAGAATGTGATGGGAAATAGAGGCAAATAGCTAAGAGGTTGAAAAGAGAGAAACTTCACTGTTCTACACAACCCATTAAGTACATGTTATCCAGATAAACACTAATCAGTCCTCAGGACTTGAGAACACCCTTGGTCACACATGTTCATCCTGGTTGTACTTGGTAACAGAGGTGACCATCTGTGTTAGCTCATTAGCTTCATCCACAGGGAGGGGGAAAACTTTAACCCATGTATTTTTGACAAGTGTGAGTTTCACAACATGGTGACAGGTGTCCTCTCTGGTGAGGCTCCTACAATCCTACAGAAACTGACGCCAGCAGTACATAATAGAATTTAAAATACATGATTAAGTGTAGAGTTTATGTGAACACTAAGCTTGAGGATAGCCACCTGGAAACATCAACTCCAAATGAATGGGATCAGCGTTCCAAAGTAGAGACATTAAGGTTTCACAGGCATAGGGAAAGACAGAGAAGCTTTAACAGAATCACCACACTTTCTATTATTCACCAGTGTATAGGTTGCAGCAACATGATTGGTGACAAATTGACACACTTTATTTTATGTTTTTTCTTTTTCTTTTTTTACTTTTTTTTTTTTTTTTTT